GAGAGAGAGAGAGAGAGAGAGAGAGAGAGAGAGAGAGAGAGAGAGAGAGAGAGAGAGAGAGAGAGAGAGAGAGAGAGAGAGAGAGAGAAAACTTACTGGTAAAACATGATTGTATCTTTTCACACTTGATTCTCCTGCATCCCATATTTCCAGACGGAATAAAATCAAACGGTTCCCAATTTTCATTGGCCAATAAACATTGCTGCATTGGATTCCTACAGTCTCAGTGTGGTGTGTTGGTAGCTGTAAATGACACATTCTATAGTTTATTGATGTATATCAGAAAAAAAACACCTGCATAACTTTGTATCAAGTTTTCGTCATATTCCAAGACTGGCTTTAGAATACATCTTTCTAGACACAGTAGATAAAGAAAGTACACTAGTTTGACCTGAATAAACAAGTGCTATAATAAAATACTTTTTCTTATGATGTCCACTTTTTGTCTCTTGTCTTCAAATTATAGGTAACTTATGAATGCACTTGCCTCCTGACCAGAAAGTCTGTTCATTGTCCAAGTTTTGCCCGAAGAGGCTTTCCCAAACATGAATAGCTTGTAGGTCACGTTTGGAGCGGCTGGTGGCAGATTGGGTTTCTCTAGCAAACCTGAAGAAAAAGATGGATGAACTAATACATTCAAAACAATATTCAGTGGAATTTTACTCAAATTTATAAAGTACATGTTAATTTTGAAAAGATAGAAAAATGTACTTTTAGTTTTTCAAAAGTGAACGTTCAGAATTATGATTGCCTACACGTATGACAAGTATAAGGAAAAATAGGAATAAGAAAATGATAACAAAAAAGGGAGAGAAAGCAGAATAAAAAGGCAGAGACACGTATAGACGAAAAATACAGTTTCAAGTTTCATTAAAATCCCTTCTCAGTTTTTTAATACAAGTACGCACATCATCTTTCTTTTTTTTTGTAATCTAACTAAATAAAATATGTGTGATAAAAAGAAGGTGGAAACATTATCAACAATAATAACATGTAGATTTGTGGTACATAGTGCATACTGGCTGTTATTACTTGTGAAAAGAAAATCTACTCAGAAGTTCCTTATAACCACTTACCAAATAATTTTCTTTTTTTTGTTCCTGGAATCAAAAGTTTCTGTTGATAGTTCTTATTCTCTCCTATTGCCCATTCAGGTGCCATGTTGATTTTAGCATCTACTGGAAATAAATAAGATTCAATATATAACTGTTTGCTATCTGTATTAATCCCATTTACATTTATTATAAAAAAGATTCATCCCATCTAGATTTTATATTGAGATCCAGAATATCTTAAATAATGATTAATTAATAAGGAAAAATAAAGAAAACATAAAAATATAAGTAAAATTAGTCTTTCTCCAGCATTAAAAAGATGAAACATAATACTGGTCACCACTGACAAGGACACTTTTTTTTCTGTAACATATAGAACAATTAATCTCTGTACCTCGTTTCCTACTAATATTGACATCAATATAAAAGAACCATTGAAAAAATGATTCTAAGATAAAAGATGAGTGTTTAAAAACAATATATGATATTGATGCTTGTGTTTACAATATGAATTGCTTTCATTATGTGTTTTTACTGTAAAGTGTCTATCCTTAAACCCATGGAATTTGCATTATCTAACAGCAATATAAAAAGAAAACAAGACAGGCAATTAATCTTGAAACGTAAACACATAATTTGACATGAGTATCAAATGAAGAATATATCAACAACAGATTACTTTATTCAAATCTTTATACAACTCTGTTCACTGTTACTATGGATCAGCATGTAATATATATCATGTGGGTATTATTCATATGTAATACCTAATCAGAGTAAATATTTCTAATTGCTTGTCTATCTATCTTGGGATGAGGAATCTATTATACAGAATACATTTTTTTCTTAGCTAAGATCTCACATAAAAAGAACCCATCTGGATAACACAAAACATACTTGCATTTATTGTGAAACTGTCTATAACACAAAAGAATGAGGAAAACCTTTTTTTTCAGACATCTCTTATATAGATAACATATTCGTCATAAAATAATATTTCATGTGTCATGTTTAGACCCTATCCATGCATCCCTCAATTCCGTAACATCGCAAGTAAAATATGAAAGTGAAGTCGAGTCTAGACACGCCTCTGAAGTATAATAGGTTTTAAAAATCCTCTGTTACGTATATCCATGAATAATGCTACCTCTCTCTCTCCTCTTTCCAATCTCAATTCTTCACTGTTACCTCTCCATACACAGTGCCAATAGAGCTAAAAAATATAAGCAGGTAACGCAAGCAGCGAGTTTCACTGTTATCTCTCCATACATAGTGACAATAGAGCTAAAAAAAGCAACGAGTTTCACTGTTATCTCTCGATACATAGTGACAATAGAGCTAAAAAAGCAACGAGTTTCACTGTTATCTCTCCATACATAGTGACAATAGAGCTAAAAAAATTAAGCTGATAATGCAAACGAGGTTCACCTAGACGTCTTGTGGCAGGGGAGTCGTCTGCTGTTTTGTTTACCCGGATTGTTGACAGGGGATACGGGCCTAAGATTATTTTCCGACTGGCGTATATCTTTATTTTAAGTGAATGTGGTAAAATCATTTATAATTACTTATTTAAGGAGAAAGAGATATTGTATGAAATTAAGGGATATATCAAACTGAGATTATCTAAGATTATCTTCATTCTAAATGAATGTGGTAAAATAATTTATAATTACTTATTCAAGGTGCAAGAGATATTGTATGATATTAAGGGATATTTCAAACTGATTTGAATGTTTATATCATCTCTTGAATATAAAATATCTGTTGACATAATCACATAAGTTGTTGCGTACAGCTATCAGAGTCAATTAGCTCCCTGAGGTAAATGTCTTCATGTATTTTCCTCTGAAAAGATTGCAGTATCCGGGTCTTATTTGATATTTGAAGCATATCTGGGTAAATAAGTCTTTCCCATATAACCATACTTCAGGTATGAGGTAGAATCATCATTACCTGCAGAAACAGCTTCATCAAAAGGCCAAAACAATGTAAATCAACTAGTAAAAAAGAAGTAAGACGAAAGAGCCCCGACTTGAGAACAAAAGTCTTTTATGTTGAAAGCGGCGTCTTCACGGCTGCGAAATCCCTTCGCGAAGTGGGCCAAGCAGGTGGAACCACACAGTCTCACTTGACCACAATCGACGTCACTGTCTCGCAATAAACAGCGCGCAGGTCGTGTACAGGGACAGTTGTAAGAAGCAAAGGTCAAGGAGACACCAGAGCTATTGTACACATCACTAAAACACTCTGATTACGTACATACTCGCACGTAAAAAAGCGGACATACGTGTTTTCTATGCGTGTCTATGCTGTGATACCATCATAATCCTCCGGTACAGATATGTGAGTAATGTTCAGTGGTGTTGCCTTAGTCACTACATCACTCCTTTCTATGCTTAAAATAGATATACGGCACTGCGCGGGTCCTTTTGACATTCAGATGTTTTTTTTCCTGCGTGGAACTTCTTGTAGGGACGATGCATGAGGAAAAGTTTATTCGTGTACGCAGTGTCCTCACGGGGATGAGACAAGAGCTAATATTATGATACGCTGGGTATAGAATGTAGGCTTATGATAATCCAACTAGCATTTTCTATCCATCTTTACTATAAGTCTTTGTTCTATTAATGTCACACACATACACATATGTATGTGTATGTGTTTGTGTATATTTTGATAGAATGATATAGATGTAGATATATGTATAGCTATGTATACACACACATACACATATGTATGTGTATGTGTTTGTGTATATTTTGATAGAATGATATAGATGTAGATATATGTATAGCTATGTATACACACACATACACATATGTATGTGTATGTGTTTGTGTATATTTTGATAGAATGATATAGATGTAGATATATGTATAGCTATGTATACACACACATACACATATGTATGTGTATGTGTTTGTGTATATTTTGATAGAATGATATAGATGTAGATATATGTATAGCTATGTATACACACACATACACATATGTATGTGTATGTGTTTGTGTATATTTTGATAGAATGATATAGATGTAGATATATGTATAGCTATGTATACACACACATACACATATGTATGTGTATGTGTTTGTGTATATTTTGATAGAATGATATAGATGTAGATATATGTATAGCTATGTATACACACACATACACATATGTATGTGTATGTGTTTGTGTATATTTTGATAGAATGATATAGATGTAGATATATGTATAGCTATGTATACACACACATACACATATGTATGTGTATGTGTTTGTGTATATTTTGATAGAATGATATAGATGTAGATATATGTATAGCTATGTATACACACACATACACATATGTATGTGTATGTGTTTGTGTATATTTTGATAGAATGATATAGATGTAGATATATGTATAGCTATGTGTACACACAAGCACAAACACACACACACACAACACACACACACACACATACACACACGACCAGACGCACGCACCTGCATTCACAGAAACCCACTTGATCTGTATTTCCCAAGAGAGCTGTGATACCATCATAATCCTCCGGTACAGATATGTGAGTAATGTTCAGTGGTGTTGCCTTAGTCACTACATCACTCCTTTCTATGCTTAAAATAGATATACGGCACTGCGCGGGTCCTTTTGACATTCAGATGTTTTTTTTCCTGCGTGGAACTTCTTGTAGGGACGATGCATGAGGAAAAGTTTATTCGTGTACGCAGTGTCCTCATGGGGATGAGACAAGAGCTAATATTATGATACGCTGGGTATAGAATGTAGGCTTATGATAATCCAACTAGCATTTTCTATCCAAGGTTGTCTATCAAGTGTACAGTACATATATATGCGTTCATAATTATATTAACTTACACAAATGGACACACACAAATGTACTCACACACCTACAACTCTACTCACTTACCCTGATCCACACCCAAATTCACACATAATAAATACCATGCACTCACATACACCTTACCATATCACACACACACACACTCTCTCTCTCTCTCTCTCACACACACACACACACACACACACACACACACACACACACACACACTTACACACACACACTTACACACACACACTTACACACACACACACTTACATACACACATACACACACGACCAGACGCACGCACCTGCATTCACAGAAACCCACTTGATCTGTATTTCCCAAGAGAGCTGTGATACCATCATAATCCTCCGGTACAGATATGTGAGTAATGTTCAGTGGTGTTGCCTTAGTCACTACATCACTCCTTTCTATGCTTAAAATAGATATACGGCACTGCGCGGGTCCTTTTGACATTCAGATGTTTTTTTTCCTGCGTGGAACTTCTTGTAGGGACGATGCATGAGGAAAAGTTTATTCGTGTACGCAGTGTCCTCACGGGGATGAGACAAGAGCTAATATTATGATACGCTGGGTATAGAATGTAGGCTTATGATAATCCAACTAGCATTTTCTATCCATCTTTACTATAAGTCTTTGTTCTATTAATGTCACACACATACACACACTTTTCTTCTTTATTTAATATCTAAGCTCCTTTTGCAATTGAGGCAGGCTTTGCTACAACGGAAAAGAATGGGCAAATTTATTCTTAGCCACAGTTATTAAACGCAACAACCATAATATCTTAAACATGGTGATATATACAGAGATCAGTGTCTGATATAGAGTTGATTCAACTCAAGTTAAGACATATTTTTACCCTGACGACTGAACACTTGATTTCACAATATTTCTCTAGTTTCAATTGAAGCCAAAGGGAGTAAAATAAAACTAGTTCTGAATAAAGGCTGGCGAAGATAGTGGGGGAGAGGGGAGGACCTAGAAGAACGCCAAAAGAAAAGATGCAAGAAGTAGATGTAGCACAGTCAACGATATATGAGGCGCTTAGTAAGAGAAGACCCTTAGGCAAAAAATGATTTACTACTAACCTACCCTTAGGGAAATATTGTTTTATTTTTCCTGTTTGTTAACATAATACTTTTACATTCTCCAATATGGTCCAACTTCATAAACAACTTCAAAAGTTTGTTGGATATCGTGTTATGAGGAAAGATCAGGACCTATTTTCTGATTTCTTAAAAAAGAAAGAAAAAAAAAAAAGTGAAGCTTGGGACCGTCACTTGATATGTGCCAATGAACAAAAATGAATATTAGTCTGCGAAAGGAAGTAACCAAACAACAGGTATTTTGGCGGCGTTAAGTTTCACCCAAGTTCTCATTGCAAGTTATGAAGTAAAAGAACGACTTCACACATAGTACTTGAAAGTCGCATTTGCAATCAGAAACAAGGACAAGAGATTCGCAGTGTTCAGAAAGAAAAGGATGACTAAGGAAGAAGTGAAACAGACAGTGCTTACTTCCAATGGGTGGATAAATGAAGGCGACGAAGAATAGCTATACAAGTAAACGGAACATATTTAGAAGTCTTGCACGCGTCTCATCCCAAAGCCCTTTTAAAGTACCTGCCAAAGAAAGGTATAGAGTTACAGAGGAACTGAACAGGAAGTACAAGTGCATTATTGGGAGAATTGACCGAATATCAAGGAATCGAAGAGAGGAAAATAATGACAAAAATCGCAACTGAATAAGGTATATTTATTTGCAGACGGCTTCTCATAAGAGGTTGAGTCCTACAGTGTTCTTTTTTTCTCTGTAGAAATATAAGAAACATGAAACGATTTCAAGGGGGTTCTTATTATATATTTAACAACACAAAAGAAGAACGTTTTTATTAGAAGAGGGAATGAATGACATCATTTACACGAAGGATAATAGAGTCAGGGCTAGGAATCCGGGTACATTTGTGTCCTCAAAAAATCGAATTGGGTCGCGATGTAACATGAAAAATGGTGAGGAGGAGGGGGGGGGGGTAAGGAAAAACACACACATACACATATGTATGTGTATGTGTTTGTGTATATTTTGATAGAATGATATAGATGTAGATATATGTATAGCTATGTGTACACACAAGCACAAACACACACACACACATACACACACACACACACACACACACACACACACACATATATATATATATATATATATATATATATATATATATATATATTGTTGTAAGTATATATATAGAGATATAGATAGATACAGATATATGTATAGCTATGTATACACACACATACACAAATATATGTATATATAAACATTTATATACGCATGCACTCACACACATATATGTGTGTGTGGTTTATATATATATTTATATAATATATATATATATATATATATATATATATATATATATATATGTATGCATGCATATATGTATGCATGTATATACGTGAATGAATGCACTTGTTTTAATGTTTTTCTTTGTTATGTAAATAACTATATGGATGCTTACATACTTGCTTCGTGTCTGTTAGCACACATACTTCTGCCTATCAGTAACCAGGGAGAAAGAATA